TGTATCAACATTAGTTTTTCCCTTAACACCAAAATTATCAGTGCTGGACTAGGAATTTAAGTTAACATAGACAAAACACCCTTAAAGCTCTATGCATGTATTATCTTTGTTCCTGAAATACAGATTGTGGGCTACCTTACATCAACTAAATGCAAATCAAACACTTGAATTAAGCTAAATCCTCACTAAATACGCCAGTCAACTGGCTTCAGTCTTCTCCAGGGTTTAGGGGAGAAAGATGGGACAAGCCCGACAGAATTGAAGCTCCTTTTTTTAATTTGAAGTTCAATCTGTTATTCATCACAGGGCTTGGTAAAAACAGGATTCAACCTCTGTCTTTAGATTTAGTCTAATGCTTACTCAGCCACTTTACCTATTTTTATAAACCACCTACTATTAACAAAGCATAAAGATATGGCACATCATGTTTACAGTTTGGTGTTTGAACCGGAATTGTAGGAACCTCCTTAAGTCTTCTTATTCATGCTAAATTAGGTCAACCTGGAGCTTTATTAAGAAATGATTTAATTTACTCAAATAAATAAATAAAATCTTTTTTAAAAAAAGAAATGATAAAATTTATAACATAATTGTTACTGTTCACGTTCATAATAATCTTTCCAATAGTCGTATCTGCTAGAATTGGGGGCTTTGGCAATTGATTAGTACCATTAATAACTATAGTGTCTGATACAGCATTTCTTCAAATAAACAATATAAACTTTTACTTCTTCTACCATCACTCTTATGTCTACTTGCCTCATCAATAATTGAAGAGGTGCTGGAATGGAATGAACAGTATGTCTGCCCTTAACCAGTAATTTAGCCCACACAAGAGCTTCTGTATATTTGACTATCTTTTCATGACATTTAGCAAGTGTCTCATCGATTTTAGGTGCAATCAATTTTATTACTACAATTATCAATATATAACCACCAACTATGTCTCAATACCAAACACCACTATTTGTTTGATGTGTTCTAATTACAAATATAATATTATTACTTACATTCCCAGTACTAGCAGCTAGTATTACTATATTATTAACAGGTCATAAGTACCACTCCCTTTGATCCTGAGGGAGGAGGTGACCCAATTTTATATCAACATCTATTCTGAATCTTCAGCCACACAGAATATATTCTTATTTATGGGTTTGGAATAATTTCACATATTGTTGTATGTTATTCAGGAAAAGAAGCTTTTGGATATATAGGAATAATATGAATCATATTATATTGGGGAGTTAAAAGTTACTCACAGATTTTCAACTACACAAGGGATCAGCGCTTCTGACCCCCACATCGTTCAAAGGTTAACTATACTTGCAACACTGGTATTACACCTGGTATATTTTAACCAGAACAGTGCACTCAAGTAGCACACACAAATTAACCAATAAAAGCAACATATAGACATTTTATTCAGTAGTATTAATTCCCAAGAACTTCTCCCTTTGTTCATGAGCCCTTCCTGTTCTTTTTCCTTTACATCTAGTTCCAAATCCTTGATTTTCCTCCTGTTGGGACCCCTTCCTGCATTTTGGATTGATGGCTCATCTTGGCTTTGTTATATTCATCTTTACAGATTTTAAAAGAGTTTGACTTAATTCTCTTCACTTCTTGACACATCAGGTAGGATATTCTTCCTTAGTTCTGACCCCTTGTGACTGCAAACCCATTTAGGCCAGATAGTAGGCGTATGTCACCTTGGTTTCCTCCTCAAGGTAATTCAGATAACTTAACCATCTGTAAGATGTGCTTTTCTGTGTAGGTAAAGTGTCAAACATTTATCTATTTAGGAAAAAAATTTTACATTTGTTCAACAACACTCTGATTCAGATCTAAGCATATCTAGAAACATAAAGTTTCCTTTGCTCGTCTATTAATTCACACATTTTTTGATATTAATATTTTAATTCATTTTTTATTATGTTATGTTAGTCACCATACAATACATCATTAGTTTTTGATGTAGCGATCCACAGTTCATTGTTTTCGTATAACACCCAGTGCTCCATTCAATACATGCCCTCCTTAATACCCATCACCAGGCTAGCCCATCCCTCCATCCCCCTCCCCTCTAAAACCCTGAGTCTGTTTCTCAGAGTCCATAGTCTCTCATGGTTCATCTCTCCCTCCGATTCCTCCCCCCTTCATTTTTCCCTTCCTTCTCCTAATGTCCTCCATGCTATTCCTTATGTTCCACAAATAAGTGAAATCATATGATAAATTCACACTTTTTTAAAGATTTTTTATATTTATTTGAGAGTGAGAGAGCTAGCATGAGTGGGGGAAGTGGTAAAGGGAGAGGGAGAAACAGACTCCCCACTGAGCAGGAAGCCTGACGCAGGGCTCCATTCCAGGACCCCAAGATCATGACCTGAGCCAAAGGCAGGTGCTTCACCAACTGAGACACCCAGGTACCCCTAATTCACACGTTTAAATAAGAATTGCCAGTGTTAGAAATCAATGATCTCATGAAGTAGGATTCAGTTTTCTTGAAGGAAATCTATATAGCAGTGGGACTTGTTAGTTAAGGACTTGTTTGACTTGGATTTGTCTTTATTCTGTTGGACTTTTAAACTTTCATTTTACATCATTCTTCGTCATTATTGCATCTCATTGGGGCTTTGGATCTCTGTATGTGAGCAGGTGAGTAAACAGATGGAACTAATAACTGATAAGCTTTTTAAGATCACCTCACAGAAGTCCTGCAATACTCTGAACAATGGTTCACTAGAATAACGTAATTTCTCCAAAGTAAGGGTAAACCTGTGGTCAAATCTGGTCCCGTTTGTTTTTGTATGACTTGCAAGCCAAGAATGGTTTTTACAGTTTGAAATGATTTGGGGGAAAAAATCAAAAGAAGACTAATATTTCATAACATGTGAAAATTATATGAAATTCAAATTTCAGGGTCTATAAATAAGTTTCATTAGAACACATCCTCGCCCATTGATTTACATATTGTCTACAGCTGTTTTCAGCTACAGCGGCAGAGTGAAGTAGTTGCAACAGAGACTATATAGCCCACAAAGCTGAAGTATCTGTTATCTGGCCCTTTGCAGAAAAAGTTTGTCAACCCCAATTCTAGGCTTATGCAAGAGGAAAGGAGGTACCAGGCACTGAATCTCCCTGGATACATACAAAATGATGATCTCTTTACAAGCTTCTATAAGCACCTCTTCTATGCAGTTATGGGAACTGAACAAATCAAGGAAGAGAGAAAAGAGAGTGAGCTGGTACAGTCTTGGTACTTAACTCGAACATTCCTTCAGGAAGTCTCAGTTGTCAGTCCTCTTCACTGAAGCACTCACATTCAAACTTCTGCCTGGAAACCTGAAACTGAAGGGTCTAGAAGAGCAGTCAAAAATAGTGAGTGCGGAATGTGGCCAGGAATTAAGAGTAAGCTTGGGACACACCTGATCTGCTTCCGAGGAGTGCCATACTCCTCTGAGCTAAATTGCTCTACCAAATGTTCTAACTGGCCCCAATCCAGAGAACAGGAAGGAAACTGCATTAAAGGTTTGGAAAAGAGGGGGCAATGAAGCAGGGAGTGGCCACTGCCCCAACCAAGCCTGGGCAGTCGAGATTCTGAAGATGAAAAAGAGCTTTGCAGAAAGCTACAGCAAGCAAAACTAGGCTGAGAGGCCCAGGAGAGGGATCAGGGTCAGTAAATGTGTCTGCCACGGATGGAATATACTCCTGGAAAAGGCAGAGGGGAAGAGTGGCCTTTTTCACCTGCTGGAGAGAGAAAACATCAGAGGCCAAGATGGAATTAGGTGTGTCCTTCCCCTCCTTAGATGAACAAGGCTACAGGAATGTTCCTGAGGAAGAGATCCTCAGGATTAGCATTAAACCTAAAAAGAGCTTTATGAAAAATAAGAGGAGATAAAATCATGTGGTCTGAATTGCAGCCCTAGAAAATTTAGTGAACCCTGTGATTAAAAAAAAATCTTACCTACACCCCACATTCACCATTGGGTAATTGCCACCTACATGCCATGTGTGTGTATATGTATAAATATAAGTATACTTATACACATAAATATCCTATAATCCTTGCAACAACTGAGCAAGAGAGATGATAGTAGTGTAGTATCCCTATTTCATTAATGAAGGAACCAAGAACTAGAGATTTTAAATGACTTTCTCAAGGCCAAACTGCTCTAAGTGACAGAATGAAGATCTGAAGTCTAACTGTTCACTTAACTACATTTACTTTACAGATGAGCACTACCATCTCCAAAAGATATAAAAAAGCAGTTCCTCAAAAATTAAATATATGCCAGTTTATGCTAAGTATAGCCTGCTTAGTGAAGGGAATGACTGGGTAGAATAATTGAGGTGTCATGATTTTAAGTGATAAAGAATATACTTGATAGGGAATTGATTTTTAGAAATTACACTGTATTTCAGGAGTGGGAGTTAGGTGCACCTCATTTAGTCTTATCATCAACATAATTTTACCTGGTACTAATGGATCAATTTATTAAATTTGACCTTTTCCATGATGAAACATTGTCCCCAGAATCAAAGAAATACCAATTTGCAAATTCCAGGCCTTTGACCACAAGAGTCAAAGGAGAGAACAGGAGGAAGGAATGTCGAAAACCCATTTTCACTGCTGGGATATCTCAACTAAGCAGCTAGGTTTCTACAGTATTAAGGGGGCTACTAGGAGATACCCCCCAAAAAATTAGGACTGAGTAAAATAAGGTAAACTTCAAAATAACACACAATAAAATAGAGCAGAAAACCGAAGTCATCTGGGAGAAACTGCCTGACTCCCAGGCCAAGTATCCAAAAGTGTAAGCAGTGGATCATGTTTACCTTGACTAAAGGGAAACCAGTCACCAGGTAGCCAGAAGACTGGGAGAGCCCAGCCTATCTGGGCAGTTGGTGGTGTGGGCTCTTGTGAGAAGACCAGGAAGTGAGGTTCCCCTTTAAAAGCAGGTCCTCCCCAAAAATAAAAAAAATAAAAAATAAAAAAAAGCAGTTCCTCCCATTTTCCAATAGTTTCCATGAAGTGCTGGTTCAGGGAAAATATTTTTCTTTCCCAACTGCCCAAACGACTTGGACAGGACTTAAACATACAGAAGGGAAGATAAAGAAAAAGGTAGAAAAGGGGAAAAGGGTGATATTATAATGGGTTGAGAGGGAGGAGGGGGATGGGTAAATGGAAAAGGGAATCTATATTTCATACCAAATGTGGTCAGAATGAGAATGACATATAATTCAGCTAGATCTTTTTTCCCTGAGAAGTAAGGGTCAAGATTCTTATCATTCAAGTCTATTTCACTATGTATCTGCGTGATTTTGTCTAAAAAGAAAAAAAAAATAGAGAGAAGTAAAAGCAAGTCCTAAAGATAGTGTCAGAAACAGGAAAAGATTAGGAAATTTAATTTTTAAAAAAGAGAATGGAGGTGGGGGTGGCAGCTAGTGGAAAGAAGTTTTTTTAGACAAGAGACCTGACTTCTCTTTTTAATTGAGAAGGTGAAGAACATTGTAGGGGAGAGATGGGGTGATTGCCTGATATACTGAAATGTAGACATGCCCTGACCTTGTTCCTCATTGAATCTTATGTCAAAGAGAAAGAAGAAATAAATGTGTGGGTGCACACACACTCATGCATATTTGTTTCTTCAGTCATATATACATACATGTTTATGGGTATTGGTGTGTGCATATGTGTTTTAGTTGTGAACCTCCTTATCTTTCTCATGTTCACTCTGTCTGGTGGAAAATTAATGACAAAAGGCCAAAAGCAAAAAAGATAAACATATATGCTAGACCATCAGTCTCTTAATTTGGGGGAGTTGACTAAAAACAAAGTGCTTCTTTTTTTGGAACAAAACATTCTCTTTAGAAATCAGAGAAATGCAAAATGTAGTTAGATTAGTAAAAAGAGTTCTGATCTATTTTTCAATATTGATTTCTTGGTGCAAAAATAAAGTTTTTTAAAGATTTATTTATTTATTTGAGAGAGAGAGAGGGTGAGCTCCTGTGGGGGGAGGGGCAGAGGAAGGAAAGAGAGAACTTCAAGCAGACTCCCCGCTGAGCACAGAGCTCAATCCCACAACCTATGAGATCATGACCTGAGCCAAAATCATAAGTTGGACACGTAACCGACTGAGCCACCCAGGTGCCCCTAAATTTTCTAATTAAGCCAAAGAATGATGCCAAAAAAAAAAAAAAATTTCAGCAATACTATTGCTAGAAATGTTTTTTTCATGGGTCTTTGCACAGGCAACCATGGGGAAGAGAGTAGCCATCATTGGAGCTGGCGTTAGTGGCTTGGCCTCCATCAGAAGCTGTCTGGAAGAGGGGCTGGAGCCCACCTGCTTTGAGAGGAGTGAAGACATTGGGGGCCTGTGGAAATTCTCGGTGAGTGGGACATCAATGCAGCAGACCAGGAAGTGAGGTGTGAAGTATGTGAGAACACATAGGTGGAGCACAGACCTCCAAATCAGCTTCCATGCAGTTATCCCTCTTAGGTTGGAACCTACAAAACACAGCATTGGGAGAAAGTTGGAAAATAAGTTCCTTGCTCATTTCAAAAGTAAATGAGATAGTGGGCTAGCTTTGAAGGTCTCTGCGTACAGAATTCACCCCTGGTAAACCATTAATAATTGAGCAACTTTATTCCCAATAATTGGGAATAGAGTCCAAGGGCAAATATTGGTTAGGTTTATGTAATGTAACTACATGAGTTACTCATTTAAAAAACAAGGTTGTTCCCATTCTTTTGTTGAGGTTACCAAAGGTCCACTTAATGATTCAGACCACAGATTTTTTTTTGTATTTGAATTAAGAATTACTTTATTAAGTACTTAGAATGCACTTAAATACTATGTATACATCAGTAAAACTACCACTCACATCAAGATATTGAACATTTTACAGATGAATGCCATGTTATTTACCACATAAAGCTTCTTAAGTGCTACATCCTACACTGTTTTATACTTTGTTATAGCTTAAATTCTGATAAAAATGTTACTCCCTATTTCAATTTCTGTGCCTTAACAGTTTTCATTATCTTTAAACTCCTTTATCCTTTGTTTTATACAAATGTGAACATCCAGGTTCAGAGACTGATTTTTGACCCCATTTGAATCTCTTTAACAGGGATATTTAACCTGTTTATGAGTGTGATAATTCACCTGTTATCTCTGTTAATCTATTTTATGCTAATTTTAATGTTTCCTTGCTGTTTTTGTTTTTTCACCATTTCCTCTCCAATTTTATCTGTAATACTTATCTCAATGTCAAATTTACTTAGAATGAACTACTACATGAAGTGGTTACTACTGATTTTCCCTAAGCAAGATGTACATAAAACAAGGTTTTCATCTGCCACCTCCCCAGTCAGTGATTTGGAAATTTTTTTACACTGTCAGCGTTAACATTATAAACAAGCTTGTTACTTTTCCCCCCTCCATAATTAAAAATAAAGACCACAGATTTTAAGGTTTCAGGTGCTATTTGGCCTTGCAAAAAACAAATAATTAATGAGACTGCTATGGGAGGAACCAATAACAAGATACACTGATTTGAAGTTCTTCAATGCCCTTTTGTCCGGGCATTCATAAGAAGGACTCTGTTAGCAGACATGCCTCTATGCAACCATTAAATCACTTCCTCTGTTGCCTGACAACCACATCAGCAGGTGTGAGGGCTTGCCTGTGCCCCAACTCCCTCATTGTCTACAACCTTAAGAACACTGCATGGTTAAGCCTACCCCATTTGTCTTCTTCTTCTGATAGACCATACATATATGCAAATTTAGGAGGAGCAATAACCCTTTTTAAGCTATTTCCTCCTCAAGTGCAAAATTAATATGTTTTATACCTCAATTAAAAAGATTGCATTTAAGGAGACTGTGTCTGTGACAGACAACTCTTTAAATATTATAAAGATATGAGAATTATTCTTATTAATATAACTATTTTTCTAGGCTGTAAAGAATTCTTGAAACTGCTCAACATCTTGTATGACGTTGTAGAGCCTAGAATATGTTGCTGAAATGTGCTGACAGGGCTTCAGATTGGCACACTGTTGATTCTTAGGGCTATTTTAGTGAGCTCTTTCTATATGCCTAACCCTTTTTTCCATTTAATTAAATCTTTACAATGATCCTATAAGGTAGGTATGAGTTTCTCCCTTTTATAAATGAATCTGAAGCTTAAAAGGAAAAGAAAAAAATGATAAATGGCCAGTAAATGACAAAGACAAGATCCTGATTCAAGCTGACCTGTCTTTCCAGCCTGAATGCTTAATCCTTGGTAAACTGCTGGGTGCCATTGCAATAAGTGGCCTGTTGAACTAGTAGGATTTCTACAGGAATCTTAACCAGTCCTTGTATTCAAACTTTGCAAAACATTGCTGCCAATACAGCTACATCTCCTGCTGCTCAATGAAGACTCTGACATTTGAACCTGGCATCACAGATTGATGATGTCTTCAGCTGCAAACATATGCTTCTCTTCAAGAAAAATATGGAATACCCCAGAGGATGAAACTGCAGGCCCAGAGGCTGGCACCTTGAGACACAGAAGATTATTCCTAGGCCTTGAGACCTAATGTGTACCCTACTAGATTTCAAAATTGGGACTGTTAACTCTTTTTTTCCTTCCATTCTCTCCCTTTTGGAATGGGAACATCTGTAACTGGTACCCAATGCCTGTCTCATTGCTGTACTTTAGTAGAAGAGAATTTGTTTTCTAGTTCACAAGTCCACAGATGGAGAAGCATTTTGGCCCAGATAGATCAAACCTGGAGTCTCATCCATACCTGATTTAAGTAATTTTAGGTGATACAATTTGGGACTTTTGAGCTGATGAAGTGTAGATGAGATTCAGGACTTGATCTGATGCTGCAATGGATTGAAACTTTGGGGTGATGAGATGGGGTAAATGTATTTTGCATGTGGAATAGATGTGAATCTTGATGGGCCAGTGGACTGTGGTAGGCTGAACAAGTGAACAATGGTTCCTCCCAAAGGTACCAGGTCCTAATCCCTGGAACTTGCAAATGTTCTTAATTTGGAAAACTAAGATATGATTAAGTTAAGAATCTTGAGATGGTGAAATCATTCTGGATTATCTGGGTGGGCTAAAAATGCCATAGCATATATGCTTATAAGAGGGAAGCAGAGGGAAACCTGACACCCAGAGATAGAAGGGGAAAGATAACATGATCACTTCAGCAGAAAGAGAGTTTTGAAGATGCTATGCTCTGACCTCCATCTTCAAGATGAAGAAAGAGGCCATTAGCCAAGGAATGCAGGTGACCTGGCCACTGAAAAGGCTAAGGAATGCTGGCATCCACTAGAAGCTGGAAGGGACAAGAAATGAATTTTCCCCTAGACCCTCTGGAATGAACACAGCCCTGCGAACACCTGGATTTCAGACCAGTGATACTGATTTCTGACTACTGACCTCTGGAATTGTTAGAGAATAGATTCCTGCTGTTTTAAGCCATCAAGCATGTGGTAACATTACAGTACACAGGAAACTAATACACTGGTTATTCAGAGTTTCCTAATTACTTTACCTCTGTGAGAGGGTCCACACTGCAGGTGGTGGCATCACTTCTTGTGTTTCTCAAATACCACTAGGAGCCTACAGCTGTATGCCTAGAATTCACATTATGGGATTAAATTATAAAATCCTGTTAATTTTGTATTTTCATTACCTTTGGTTTCTAAAATCAGCATTTTACAATCTCTCAGCATTTTCCCCCTTTGAGAGGTATCCAAACATTTCTTAAGTGTGAAAAAATAAGGTGCAGATCATTCAAACTTTTGTGGCTGTTTCCTGTAGCACCTCCCTATACCCTTCTAGTTGTCATTTGTAACACTGATCTAAAGCCAGAGTGATGTATTTCCCTCACCTGCTTTGATCACTGAGAAAATAAAGTACTTTAGGACTAGGCCACAAGTTGAAGGGAAATGTCTTTCTTTCTCAGGAGATCCCCAAAAAATACATCAGTAAATTGTCTGAATTTGGGCCTGAAGTTTCATGAATAAAGGCTCTTTTCTCTGGGCACACAACCCTTTGTTCACTTCCCCTGATTTTATTCTACTCTTTGGATCAATTTGTTTTTTAATGTGTAGTCTCTCCTGTGTTGATTACATCTCTACCAAGCTTTCTAACCTCATCAAAAGCTACAAATCACAAAACTACTAGACAAAAATCAATTGTTTTTATATATTTTAGAGTTAGCAAACTGGCTCTTTTTATACTGCAGCTAATCTATTTTATCTATACAGTTTTTAAGATTTTAATCTAATATTTTAAAATCATGATATTTTACATAAAAATCTAGAGATCTGTCTTCTTTTGAAAAATCAGAAAATCAGGCAACACTGGACTCCCTTTACTCATAGTAATAACTGGCTTCTTCTAAACTAAATTTAAATTCTCTGTTTCACTATATTCATTTTTGGCCCATTTCACTCATTTCTTGTAACCTCCTCTGCACCTATAAAACTTGTTTTGACTGATGCTATGTACAAACAGCAATCCCTTAAATTATATGGAACAAAAGTCACACCCATTTACAAAATTTTTAATCTCCTTCTTCATATAGTTTTATGATCTTTTTTGTTTAAACAAACCATCATGTTTATAATACTATAAACATGTAAATACTGGTCATTGCTGAGCCACTTAGTGGATTCTAATTACATTTTCTTCCTTGAACAACTTTTGTTTTCACTGGAGTTAATAATTGCCTAGTATCCTTTGTTTAACCTTACAAATACTATCTCTAATTCATTCCCCAAGCTCTCCCACAGAATTATGATTCTCTTCTCAATATGTTTAAACACATGGCCGGTCCATCAGCTTAATTTTTCTTTTAACTGTCTCTTAAAGATAGTTCTTCTGCTTGTCTTCCTTCTCTAGTCAAAGCTGCATTGCTGTGGCCTAGGTAACCCTGTTTTCTGAAGCCCTTATTGTCCTACTATTTAGTTTATTCTCTCCTTTCAGTAGAGTACATTAGAGTACATCCTCCCAGTAGTTCTCTGAGAAGTTATACATGTGAAATAAAAGACTATAGACCTAGAATGTCTTATGATACCACTGTTGGATCTGGATTCCCATTTGATTAGACTTAGGCTTAGCTTTCGGCTTTCTTAGGTCTTCTTTCTATTTAGCAGGGTTTGGCTCTTTGTTGACCACTCCCTCCAAAAAAATTTATATTTAAAAATGCAATTATTGACTCTATAGCCATTCTCTTATAAACTTTCTACCTGATCAACTTAGAAGAATCAGTCTATAAACATGGGCTCTGAGATGCACTATAATAACACTGAGTAGAAACAGTAAGACGTCCATGATTAAGTTTAAGGGAAAAAAAAGAGCAACTCACAAATGATGTATTTAATTATGCTGCAACTCTTTTCTCAGTAATCAGGACCTTTTGGTGGCCTAAGGAAAACTGAAGACCAATCAGCTCATCATTTCTAGGGAGATTGATTATCCTGGAGCAGCCAACGTTGCAAAGCTATCTCAAACCTGTCTCAAAGGTTTGCATCATTTTTATTTTATGAAAATCCTCCCTTGGTGTAGTATTACATAATTTTCCCCAACCTTGGCTTGCTCCAGTACCTTACCTTTGCCCTTGTATTAGTTTTCTATTGCTGCATAACAAATTACCACAAACTTATCAACTCATAACAACACCCATTTATTACTCTCAGTTATGTAGTAGGTCAGAAGCACAGCATAGTTCACAGCTGAGTTCTCTGCTTACGACCTTACAAGGCCAAAAACAAGGTGTGGCTGGGCTGGGCTCTTACCTAGAGGCACTGGAGAAGAATCTGCTTCCAAGTTCATACAGGGTGGTGGCTAAATTCAGTTTCTTGCTGATGTTAGGCTAAGGTCTTTTGTTTCCTTGCTGGCTACAAACTGGGGATTCCTCTCTCATCTCTCATCTCCTTGTAACTTCTTGATATTTTGCAATGCTTTATCCATAAGTACATACTAGACTACTAATGCTCAGGTCACTCTTTTATGTCTAGCACAAATAAGACAATAGACAAATATCCAAAATTACACTGGGAGAAGCATAAAAGCATTCCAAGACAAGTACCCCCAGTTGGCATAGCTTAATCTCCAAGTCTCTTTTGGATCAATGCTCAGTCTTTCAGATCCCCCCAACCCCTAAATTTTTCCAAGATTGTATCTGGACTTATGGAGAAAAAGGCCTTATGTGACCTTGGGGTGGAGGAAAGCCAAAGTTCCTCAAATTCAAACACAGATCCTGGGACTGTTGTCTGGCCCCTCTAGTCTCTTGGTGTCCCTTTTTGTTTGCTTATCATTCATGCTCATCCTTTAGAAGTCTTAAATTGAAGACAGCAGATGATGAACTTGGAGACTGTCCTCTCTTAGCTTAGTTTTAGGCCAATGGACCTTGCTGATTAGATCTCACTTGCCCCTATGAGCATATCAGATTAACCTCCCCAAGATCCAGTTTTCCCATTGAGTTCCTGAACTAAGTAGCCCACTCTACTGCTCTCTCCTAAAATACCACTTAGCCCCCTCCATAACAACACTCTGGTAGACTATCTGCTATGAGTCTCAAATAATTTCTTCATCCCTGCTGGGAGCAAGTGGGAACTCCTTGTTTTACTCAAACTGAATGGGTTCAAGAGAGCTAAACTAAGATCCTACCTCTTCCTAATCACTGCTACTTGACTCTTCTGTGTCAACCTCCCCCTACCTAGGTTGGTCCAGAGGGAGTCTTTAAGATAAGTGATGTCTTACCAAAATCTCAAATGTAAAAACAAAAGCCCCTCTGCCCTCAGTGTTCCCCTCAATTTTATATGAGGTATGTTGATCTTGAAATTTCAGCCCAAAGAATAGACTTTAAGACCTAGGTGATTTACCATCACCCTCTTTCCTGCCTCTATTCCCCTTTCTCCCACCCAATCCTCCAAACTTCACCCTTCCATTTCCTTTAAACCACTGATTTTCAAACTAGAAATTATGACCTATTAGTGTGCTATGAAATAAATTAATGAATCAATCTGCATTTTAAATGGAATGGATAGAAAATATCAGAATGCAACTCAAATAGTTAGATATGATTTATTCATAAAACTTGTTGTGTGTGTGTTGCAATGTAAAATATATTTCTAACTATAGGTTGTGGTCAAAAACATTTGCAAAACACTATTATAAACATAACCTAAGTTTTCTCTGCCCTAGGTACATAAGAAAATATAGTCTAATTCACCAGAACTGCCTCATGATATGTTAAAGGAGATTTTTTTTATTGTGGCAAACATAGCACAATAAATATTTACCATTTAATCATTTTAAAGTGTACAGTTCTGTGGCATTAAGCTTATGCACATTGTTGTACAATCATACCATAATCCATGTTCAGACTGTTTTTTAATCTTCCCAAACTAAAACTCTGCCAATTAAACAATAACTCTCCATCCATCCTAGCTTCCTAGCCCCAGGCAACCACCATTCTTTCTGTCTCTATGAATTTGATAATTCTGGGTATCTCACATAAGTGGAATTTATAGAATTTATCCTTTTGTGATTGGCACGTTTCAGTTAGCATAACGTCCTCAAAGTTAATCCATATCATAACATATATCAGAATTTTCTTTAATTCTAGTTATATATTCCAAAAATAACATAATGAAATTCAAAATTTATTTCCCTTAGAAAAGATGTTAAGAAGGATATATTCTTCCATATTCTAAGGTCCTTTGATTAGCATCAAATTGTTTAAGTAAAGTTATTCTTCATCTTACTGAATTTCATTATGAGTAAAGGTGAGTGATAATTATTTGGAACTGGCACTGACCATGGTAAGTGCACGCATTTACAAACTCTCTTCTGTTTGAAACTATACATTTACAGGACCACACAGAGGAAGGCAGAGCTAGCATTTACCAGTCTGTCTTTACCAACTCTTCCAAAGAGATGATGTGTTTCCCAGACTTCCCATATCCTGATGACTTCCCCAACTTTATGCACAACAGGAAGCTCCAGGAATATATCACTGCATTTTGCAAAGAAAAAAACCTCCTGAAATACATACAATTTAAGGTAAGATGCTGTCAAAAGATTAGTTTGAGGCATAATTGTGAGGAATTCTATATTTATTAGCAGATTCTTATTTGTTCCTTTCAGTATTTCTTCCTTATTTGTGAACATTTTTAACAGTGTGGACTCCTTGACCCTAGATTTAAAGAATACATTGGAAATTTACAAAATATCACATACAGTTCTTAGACCAAAATGCCACTAACTTAGAAATCAATAAAAAATAAGTAAAATAGCCATGAATTTCAAAATTCAAAACTCTTTTTTTCTGAACAATTTATGGCTCAAAGAAGAAATTGTGATGGAAATTTTGATATTTAGATCTGAATGATAAATTCTACATATCAATACTTGTGGGAACATAAAGACCAAAACTTTCCTGAAAATTATAAACTTAAATACTTATTTAGAAAATAAGAAATTTTCCAAAACTAACAAGATAAAGAAATTAAGAAAAGAAAAGCAGAATAAACCCAAAAGAACATAGAATGAACAAGATAATAAAAAGAAATTAATGAAATACAAAAGCATATTAAGAAGATAGAAAGTTCATCCTTTGAAAAAAAATAGATGAATAGCTGACAGTTTGAGGAAAAGAAACAAAGATACAAATAAATAATATTAGAAATTAAAAAATGGATAAAACTGATGTGGATGAAATAAAAAATGTAACAAGAATACTATAAAAGTGTTTGCCAAATAATGTTTAAATTGGTTAAATTTAAAATCTTTTTTTTGAACTTGCCAAAATGCACACAAAAAGAAGTAGAAAGCCTGAATAGTCCTTTGATAACTTCGAGTTCTTTTGACTCAGAAACTAAAATTTTTCCCATTAAGAAAAGATTCCATAGGTAATTCCAAATTTGCAACAAAAAAAATTTCAATATTTTATAAACTCCAGAGACTAAAAAATAAAGTATGACTTCCAAACTTATTCTATGACATTAGAACCTTGACATCAAAAGCAAACAAAAATAATAAGAAATAAGAAAATTACAGAGATATTTCCTTCATGAAATCTAGTAGAAAAACTTCAAAAATGAATCTAACAAAATATTTTTTAAAAATTAACTGTCTTCATTGAGTTGAGTTTGAGCTAAGGATACAGAATATTTTAACGTCATGAAATATAAATATGTAATTCAGTGCAAAATCCTGTCACAGGAAGAAAACAATACATTTACCAAATCTGAAAAGGCATTAAATAAAATTTAACATCCATTTCTACCTAAAAGAAAGACAAAGAAAAGCAAAGAAAAAAAAGAAAAAAAACTCACTAGGCTAAAATTAGAAAGGAATTTTTTTGATCCATAGAAACATATAAATATTATCTTAAATCTGCACTGCTCAATATGGTAGTCACTAGCCAAAAACTGAGGTGTGCTCTAAGCATAAAGTACAGACTTTATCTCAAAGTCTTATTTTGAAAAAGAATATAATATACCTATTAATGATGTTTATTTTGGTGACTTGTTAATCCAATGATATATCAGATGGATTGGGTTAAATTACACATTTTTTCTATTTTTAATATGACTACTAGAAAATTTTAAGTTACATATGTTGCTCATATTATATTGCTACTGGACAGTGCTGTTCTAAAGAGTGCAGAGTTAGAATCATTCCCTTAAAAATCCAGAACATGACAAGGATTCCTATTATTACTGCTTCTTTTCAATAGTCTCAAGAAATTTAAGGGACAGTTTAAGTAAAGAAAAATAAATAAAAAAGAATAAATAAATAAAAGGAATGACAACTAGGAAAAAAGTAACATCCATCACAGATGATATGACTTTCTGCATGGAAAACCCCAAAGAATCTAGAGACAAATTACTAGATTTAATAACAAGATGGTAGTATATAAGATCAAGATATAAAAATCAATTGCATTCCTGTATGCCAGCAGCAAAAAACAAACTATAATCCAAAAAGGAACCATTTACCATAGCATAAATAAATGCATAATCCCAGAGTTATTCTAAATAAATGATATGCAAGATTTTATGGATTCATAGTGCTTGTTTTATTATATTTCATAAGTAACAAGCATTATACAGATATGTGTACATGTATTGTTTAATATGTATGAAATACTATACATAATAAAGTTTATAAGAACAATTCATACCAAATAGAGGTTCTCTTCCAAATATAATCAGAAGAACTGAAAAAATATTTTTGACGAGGGAGCACACCAACCAACAGGCAGCTGTTCAGCTGTGAATAAATATTTATTGATAGTCTAATCCAGTGCTACTCAGTATATGGGCCAAATATCATCACATCTCCTGGGAGCTCATTAGAAATTCAAGTTTTCATGTCCTATGCCAGACCTACTGACTCAGAATATCTAGAACTGTGGCCTTGGAATCCGTACTTTAACAAGCTTTCCAGGTAATCCTTATGCACACTAAATTTGAGAACTCATTCTCTGAATATAGACAATATCTTTCATTTTAAGACAATATATTGAAAAATAAAATAGCTAAAGAGGTATGTTAAGAAGTAGTTGTTGGGGGGTGGAGCAAGATGGCGGAGGAGTAGGAGACCTGGATTTCATCTGGTCTCAGGAATTCAGCTGGATAGGGATCAAACCATTCTGAACACCTACGAACTCAAAAGGAGATCGAAGAAAAGGATAGCAACAACACTGAACAGAAAAACGACCACTTTCTGGAAGGTAGGACGTGCGGAGAAGTGAATCCGAGGCGATATTCCAGAGGATAGACGGCGGGGGAGGGGGCGTCCGTCGGCCGCTTCTGGCAAGTGATAGAGCCGCGGAGCACAAAATCGGAACTTTTAGAAGTTGGCTCTGCTGAGGGACGTTGCTCCAGTGGCTAAGCGGGGGGTGGAACCCTCACGGGACAGTGTGGTCTCAGGACCCTCGGGGTCACAGAAAGACCAGGGGTGCCTGAGTGCAGCAGAGCTTCCAGGTATCAGAGTGGGGAAGCCGGCTGCAGAGACAGAGCTGAGGCGCAGGCTCTCAGCTCAGGATTGACATAAACTGTGATCGGTGACAGTCAGGCCACTGCTCCTCCAGCAGGGACCCAACAAGCGGCAAAGCTGGGGAGCCTCCTCCTCTGGGAGGAGCGGGGCAGGAGCGCACCGCAGGCATCTGCTGGGTTTGGAGACTCCACACGGGCTCAGGTGCCAGAGATAGAAATGCTTGGTCACAGGTCGGGTGAGCATGGAGTGCAGCCAGAGACCGGGGAGATGTGAGTGATTGACTGCTTTTCTCTGGGGGCGCACTGAGGAGTGGAGCCCCGAGTTCTCGGCTTCTCCAGGTGGAGACTGGGAGGCCGCAATTTCACTCTCGTCCTCCAAAGCTGTAGGGAAAGCTTTCAGGGAAAAAAGCTCCCAAGAGCAAACCGAGCAGATTACTTAGCCCAGACCGGGCAAGGGCGGGCAATTCCGCCTCCAGCAAAGACATTTGGGAACCATGGCAACAGGCCCCTCCCCCAAAACATCAAGTATACCTATCAATGAGAACGGCAGAACTCCAGCGCGAGGGGAATAATGCACATAGAATTCATGGCTTTTTTACCATGATTCATTAGTCTTTCAAAGTTAATTTTTTTAACTGCTTTTTTTATTCGAATTTTTCTTTTTCCCTTTTTCAACCAACATCTTATCAATCCCTTTTTTTATTTTTTTAAGTACTTTATTTTTTATTTTATTTATTTGACACAGAGAGATACAGCGAGAGAGGGACCAGAAGCAGGGGGAGTGGGAGAGGGAGAAGCAGGGTTCCCGCTGAGCAGGGAGCCCAGTGTGGGGCTCGATCCCAGGATCCTGGGATCGTGACCTGAGCTGAAGACAGACACCCAACAACTGAGCCACTCAGGTGCCCCATTCCTTTTTTTTAAAAAACATTTTATTTTTCATTTTTAGAGTCATATTCGATCCCTTCATAGTACTTACCCTCATTTCTGGCATATATATATAAGTTGTTCTCTCTTTAAAATTTTGAGATAAAGTTTCTTCTAACATATCAAAATATGCCCTAAATCTCTAGTGTATGGCTTTGTTCTAGTCTCCTGCCTGATCACATTCTCTCCCCCTTTTTTTCTTTCTTACTTTCCTTTTTTTTAATCCTCTTCTTTCTTTATTCAAACATCTTCTTATCAATTCATTTTTTAAAATTTTTTATAATTTTCATCTTTACATTCATATTCCATCCCTTCATGGTATCAACCCTTATTTTGTACATATATAAGTCTTTCTTTCTTTAAAATTTTAGGAGTCACTTTCTTCTAACAGACCAAAATACACCCAAAATCTAGTGTGTGGCACTGATCTATGCACCAGCCTGATCATATTTGATCATATTCTGGTTTTTTTTGTTTTGTTCTGTTTTTGTTTGTTTTTATCTTTTTTTCTTTTTTTCTCTTTCTTTTTTCTTTTTCTCCCTTTCTTTTCGCCTGGTTTCAGGGCTTTTCTGATTTTTATACAGTATATTTGTCAGGGACGTTGTTAACCTGTTAGCATTTTGTTCTCTCATTCATCTATTCTCTTCTGGACAAAATGACAAGATGAAAAAAATCACCTCAGCAAAAAGAACAAGAGGTAGTACCGTCTGCCAGGGACCTACTCAATATGGACATTAGTGCAATGTCAGACCAAGAGTTCAGAATCATGACTTTAAAGATACTAGCTGGGCTTGAAAAAAGCATGGAAGTTATTAAAGAAACACATTCTGGAGAAATAAAAGAACTAAAATCTAACCAAGTCGAAATCAAAAAGGCTATTAATGAGGTGCAATCAAAAATGGGGGCACTAGTGCTCGCTTCAGCAGCACATATACTAAAAAAATGGGGGCACTAACTGCTAGGATAAATAAGGCAGAAGAGAGAATCAGCGATATAGAAGACCAAATGATGGAAAATAAAGAAGCTGAGAAAAACAGAGACAAACAACTACTCGATCACGAGGGCAGAATTCGAGAGATAAGAGATACCATAAGATGAAACAACATTAGAATAATTGGGATCCCAGAAGAAGAAGAAAGAGAGAGGGGCAGAAGGTATATTGGAGCAAATTATAGCAGAGAACTTCCCTAATGTGAGGAAGGAAACAGGCATCAAAATCCAGGAGGCACAGAGAACCCCTCTCAAAATCAATAATAATAGGTTAACATCCCGACATCTAATAGTAAAACTTACGAGTCTCAGAGACAAAGAGAAAATCCTAAAAGAAGCTCGGGAGAAGAGATATGTAACCTATAATGGTAGAAACATTAGATTGGCAACAGACCTATTCACAGAGACCTGGCAGGCCAGAAAGGACTGGCAAGATATCTTCAGAGCACTAAACAACAAAAATATGCAGCCAAGAATACTATATCCAGCTAGGCTGTCATTGAAAATTAAAGGAGAGATAAAAAGCTTCCAGGACAAGCAAAAACTAAAGGAATTTGCAAACACGAAACCAGCCCTCCAAGAAATATTGAAAGGGGACCTCTAAGCAAAGACAGAGCCTAAAAGCAGCATAGATCAGAAAGGAACACAGACAATATACAGTAACAGTCACCTTACAGGCAATACAATGGCACTAAATTCATACCTTTCAATAGTTACCGTGAATGTAAATGGGCTCAATGCCCCAATCAAAAGACACAGGCTATCAGATTGGATTAAAAAACAAGACCCATCCATATACTGTCTGCAAGAGACTCATTTTAGACCCAAAGACACCCCCACATTGAAAGGGAGGGGGTGGAAAACCATTTACCATGCTAATGGACACCAAAAGAAAGCTGGGGTGGCAATCCTTATATCAGACAAATTAGATTTTAAAACAAAGACTGTAATAAGAGATGAAGAAGGACACTATATCCTACTTAAAGGGTCTATCCAACAAGAAGATCTAACAATTATAAATATCGATGCCCCTAACATGGGAGCAGCCAATTATATAAGGCAATTAATAACAAAAGCGAAGAAACACATTGACAACAATACAATAATTGTGGGGAACTTTAACACCCCCCTGACTGAAATGGACAGATCATCTAAGCAAAAGATCAACAAGGAAATAAAGACTTTAAAGGACACACTGGACCAAATGGACTTCACAGACATATTCAGAACATTCCATCCCAAAGCAACGGAATACACATTCTTCTCTAGTGCCCATGGAACATTCTCCAGAATAGATCACATCCTAGGTCCCAAATCAGGTCTCAACCGGTACCAAAAGATTGGGATCATTCCCTGCATATTTTCAGACCACAATGCTTTGAAACTAGAACTCAATCACAAGAGGAAAGTCGGAAAGAACTCAACTACATGGAGGCTAAAGAGCATCCTACTAAAGAATGAATGGGTCAACCAGGAAATTAAAGAAGAATTAAAAAAAGTCATGGAAACCAATGAAAATGAAATCACAACTGTTCAAAATCTTTGGGATACAGCAAAGGCAGTCCTGAGAGGAAAGTATATAGCAATACAAGCCTTTCTCAAGAAACAAGAAAGGTCTCAAATACACAACCTAACCCTACCTAAAGGAGCTGGAGAAAGAAGAGCAAATAAAGTCTAAACCCAGTAGGAGAAGAGAAATAATAAAGATCAGAGCAGAAATCAATGAACTAGAAACCAAAAGAACAGTAGAACAGATCAACGAAACTAGGAGCTGGTTCTTTGAAAGAATTAACAAGATTGATAAACCCCTGGCCAGTCTTATCAAAAAGAAAAGAGAAATGACCCAAATCAACAAAATCATGAATGAAAGAGGAGAGATCACAACCAACACCAAAGAAATACAAACAATTATAAGAACATACTATGAGCAACTCTATGCCAGCAATTTAGATAACCTGGAAGAAATGGGTGCATTCCTAGAGATGTATCAACTACCAAAACTGAACCAGGAAGAAATAGAAAACCTGAACAGACCTATAACCATTAAGGAAATTGAAGCAGTCATCAAAAATCTCCCAAAAAACGAAAGCCCAGGGCCAGATGGCTTCCCAGGGGAATTCTATCAGACATTTAAAGAAGAATTAATACCTATTCTCCTGAAACTGTTCCAAAAAATAAAAATGGAAGGAAAACTTCCAAACTCGTTTTATGAGGCCACCATTACCTTGATCCCCAAACCAGACAAAGACCCCATCAAAAAGGAGAATTACAGACCAATATCGTTGATGAACATGGATGCAAACATTCTCACCAAAATACTAGCCAATAGGATCCAACAGTACATTAAAAGGATTATTCACCACGACCAAGTGGGATTTATCCCTGGGTTGCAAGGTTGGTTCAACATCCGCAAATCAATCAACGTGATACAATACATTAACAAAAGAAAGAACAAGAACCATATGATCCTCTCAATAGATGCAGAAAAAGCATTTGACAAAGTACAGCATCCTTTCTTGATCAAAACTCTTCAGAGTATAGGGATAGAGGGTACATACCTCAATATCATAAAAGCCATCTATGAAAAACCTACAGCGAATATCATTCTCAATGGGGAAAAGCTGAGAGCTTTTCCCCTAAGGTCAGGAACGCGGCAGGGATGTCCACTATCACCACTGCTATTCAACGTAGTATTAGAAGTCCTAGCCACAGCAATCAGACAACAAAAAGAAATCAAAGGCATCCAAGTCGGCAAGGAGGAAGTCAAACTCTCACTCTTGGCAGATGATATGATACTTTATGTGGAAAACCCAAAAACTCCACCCCAAAACTGCTAGAACTCATACAGGAATTCAGTAAAGTAGCAGGATATAAAATCAATGCACAGAAATCAGTGGCATTCCTATACACCAACAAGACAGAAGAGAGACAAATCAAGGAGTTGATCCCATTTACAATTGCATCCAAAACCATAGGATACCTAGGAATAAATCTAACCAAAGAGGCAAAGGATCTGTACTCAGAAAACTATAAAATACTCATGAAAGAAATTGAGGAAGACACAAAGAAATGGAAAAACGTTCCATGCTCATGGATTGGAAGAACAAACATTGTGAAGATGTCAATGCTACCTAGAGCAATCTACACGTTCAAGGCAATCCCCATCAAAATACCATCCACTTTTTTCAAAGAAATGGAACAAATAATCCTAAAATTTGTATGGAACCAGAAGAGACCCCGAATAGCCAGAGGAATATTGAAAAAGAAAAGCAAAGCTGGCGGCATCACAATTCCGGACTTCCGGCTCTATTACAAAGCTGTCATCATCGAGACAGTGTGGGACTGGCACAAAAACAGACACATAGATCAATGGAACAGAATCGAGAGCCCAGAAATGGACCCTCAACTCTATGGTCAACTAATCTTCGACAAAGCAGGAAAGAATGTCCAATGGAAAAAAGACAGTCTCTTCAACAAATGGTGTTGGGAAAATTGGACAGCCACATGCAGAAGAATGAAACTGGACCATTTCCTTACACCACACACAAAAATAGACTCAAAATGGTTGAAAGACCTAAACGTGAGACTACTGATAACCATAATATACTGTGAATTGTGCAATACTGTTGAATCACAGATCTGTACCTCTGAAACAAATAATGTAACATATGTTAAGAAAAAAAAAAGAAGAAGAAGATAGCAGGAAGGGAAGAATGGAGGGGGGAAATCGGAGGGGGAGACGAACCATGAGAGATGATGGACTCTGAAAAACAAACTGAGGGTTCTGGAGGGGAGGGGTGGCGGGAGGATGGGTTAGCCTGGTGATGGGTATTAAAGAGGGCACGTTCAGCATGGAGCACTGGGTGTTATGCACAAACAATAAATCATGGAACACTACATCAAAAACTAATGATGTAATGTATGGTGATTAACATAACAATAAAAAATTTAAAGATTATAAAAAAAGTAAAGTAGTTGTTACTACAAAAATGATTGGCCACCAGATTACTTGGTGCCTGTGGTACATGCTATTTGTAAACTATGATTGAATTCACAGTCATATCTCTGAGAGGGGAGTCACTCAGTCCAGAACATACTGGCTATGCCCAAGAAGCCATGTAAGGATAAAAATATATATTTACCTGGGCACCTGGGGGGCTCAGTCGGTTAAGCATATGCCTTCAGCTCAGGTCATGATCTCACGGTCCTGGGATTGAGCCCCACAGCCGGCTAGTGCTCTCTCTTTCTCTATCTCTCTAAAATAATCAAATAAAATCATAAAATACATATATTTACCATTTAATGTTTTGATTTTTGAGTTTTGAATTCAAATATGTATCTTTTTAAAGTTTTTTTTAAAGATTTTATTTATTATTTATTTGAGAGAGAGACAACGAGAGAGAGAAAGAGAGCATGAGCCGGGTAAGGGGCAGAGGGAGAAGCAGACTCCCAGCTGAGCAGGGAGCCCAAGGTGAGCCTCAATCCTGGGATTCCAGAATCATGACCTGAGCTGAAGGCAGACACTTAATTGACTGAGTCACCCAGGTGCGCCCATAATATGTATCTTAATAATGGATTAAGTATTTTTCCTAAGCCACTGTTAAGCATTTTTTTCAATACTATTTGATCAAGTTGGTGCCAAATCTACCTGTTAGTATAGAAAAGGCTATCTTTCTATATTTCTTTTAGACACTTGTATCTGGTATAAATAAACGTCCCGATTTCTCAATCACCGGCCAATGGGATGTTACCACTGAAAGGAATGGTAAAAAAGAATCAGCTATCTTTGATGCTGTATTGATTTGTTCTGGACACCATGTGTACCCCCACCTACCAAAAGAGTCCTTTCCAGGTAAGGCTGAAATTTCGTCTACCTCTACACATCTGGCATGAATGAATATCTTGATAATATCTTTTTTAATATATATAAAAGTATAGATTGAATTAAAAGATGCTTCTATCATATGTAATATACCTGGAGTGTTAAAGTTCCATATTATTGTGACTACATTCACCCATAAGTCTTTTACAGCAGTTTTCAGTTTTTTAAATGGAAACCAAATGATTCTTATGTTTCCCACTTTTCACTCAGGACTAAAACTTTTTAAAGGCAAATGCTTTCACAGCCGAGAATATAAGGAACCAGGAGTATTCAAGGGGAAGCGAGTCCTGGTGTTGGGCCTGGGGAATTCAGGCTGTGATATTGCCACAGAACTCAGCCACACAGCTGAACAGGTACCGTTTCTCAGATACTCAGAAACTATCTTTAAAGGAACAGAGACAGTTACCATTTGAAAGGTGTGCTAAGAAACTAGGGAAGGGGTAGTAGTGTGCAGGGTTCTTGACAGAAAGACTAGTGTTTCATACATCTCAGGTTCCCTCCATAACAGGGGAGGGTTGTTTTGTTTTTGTTTGTTTATTTGTTTGGATTTATTTATTTATTTGAGAGAGAGTGTGCAAGCAGGGGGAGGGGCAAAGGGAAAGGTAGAGAATCTCAAGCAGACTCCCTGCTGAGCAGGGAGCCCCATGCGGGTCTGGATCCCACCACCCTGAGATCATGGCCTGAACCGAAACCAAGAGTCCAGCTGACTGAGCCACCCAGGCACCCCAACAGGTGAAGTTTTAAATAGTTTGGTATGACAAAAGCAGAATATCAGCAAGGAGTGATGTTATTCAATAATCTTCTTCAGGACATTTGGTGTCTAACATGTCTGATCAATTCCTCCAAAACTAGTATGGATTTAGGGTTAAGATTATGACTCTGACACTCTTAAAGTCCATCAATCCCTCTGAGTGTCAGTTTTCTCATAAAGATAAATAAAACAGATAAAAATAGAACCTACTTTTTGAGCTTGGTAAGGAGTTAAATCATTTAAATACGATTTCATCAACATAGAGTTCTATATTCATTCATTCATGCATACGGTCATCCCATAGTTATTTGTTGAGAGCCTACTATGTGCCAAGCACTGGCTTGGGTTCTGGAGAAAAAGTAGAGAGCAAAACAGACATGATGCCCACCCTGAACTCAGAGTCTGGTGTAACAAATGGGTATTAAACAAGTAAATGCACAAATAATGTGAAAATTGTGAAAAGTGCTAGTAAAAAAAAGAAAAAGCATGCTGTAAGAGTAGATAATAAGGGTAACCTGCCTTAGACAAAGAAGTGAGGAAGGCCCTTTCCCGCTGATGACATTTAAGCTGAGAGCTAAAAGTTGAGAAAAGGGTTCAGTGTCAGAAGAGGACTCCAGGAAGTAGGTCTTGAAGCAGGAAGAAGCTTAGAGTCTCAAGAAACTGAGAAAAGACCCCTTCACTGCAGTGCATTGGGTTTGGAAAAGAATGGTATGAGGAGAGGTTGGAGAGGAAACAGAGAAGAGATCAAACAGGGACCATAAGGGGATGAGAAGGAGTTTGAACAAATGCCACCTACTAGCTTTGGAAGATTCTTTAGGGACTGACTGCCCAGAAGCCCACAGACAGGAATTTTATCTCTAGAGGCTGCTCCTTACTAATGTCACACTGGGCATCCCCAACATAGGTCCATTTTAAATGATGGTTTTACAACCAGTGAAGGAAGGAGATCATGACAGGACAAATGGTATAAAAATATATTCCTGTTTACCTGTTCAAAGCACTATACTGAAAGTATAGAGACACAAAGAAGTCCAAGTAATTTAAAATCTACTTGGGAAAATAATACATTGATATAATATAAATTAAACATAACCTCAAGAATTAAGTAGAAAGTCTTAAGAGTACAAGAGCTGCCACTGGAAAAAAAGATGCACAGGTGATTCAGGAACTAAATGCTCTGATTATGGAACTGCAGGCCTCACAAAGAAGGTAGACCTGAACCAGTCCTTGAAGGATATTTATGAATCATATGGTTGAAGAGTTGTCAAAGGGTGTTGTTGGAAGGGAGAATAGCATATGCGAAGGGATGGAGACAGGAGTGAGTACAGCATATTTCACTATTGTGGTTCATCTTGTTGGAATTGAGATAAATAACAATAAAAATTTGTGTAATGCATTATGGTACTCCAGTGCCTGCATATAAATGTGCTCCTTTGATTGTAGAAAGAAAGCAGACCAGGTTTTATTATGCCCATTTTACAGAAAAGATAACTGAGGACTAGAAATGTCAATTGTCTTCTTGAAAGTCATAGAGGAAATTAATTAAGTGTTAGAGGACTGAACACCAGATCTGATTCCAAGGAACAGAGTAGCTATAGGAATTGAGAGAGGAAAGAAAGATTGGAGTCAGGTTATGTCATATTCTTTAAGGAATTGAATGACAGGCTAAAGAATTTAAATTTCTTTATAAATAATGGTAAATCACTTCAGCATCTTGAGCTAAGGAAAGATATGATAAAGATATAGTTTTAAAATAAGATTTATCCATTAGTTGCATATATGATAAATTAGAGGAAAGAAAGACCAATTTCAGAAGCTCTCAACAGATTGATCCTCTAGTCTCTCCTTCTTTGCTTGGCTTCCCTTATAAAAAATACTTTGAAATGGCATTATATTTAAAAATTCTTTTTAAAAATGCCTGAAAACCTACACAGTTAGGGATTATCATGATAGAAGGGGAGTTAAGGAACACATTCTCCATGTCAGGCAATGGTGGTCCTATTTCATGGTAAGCACACTGCATGAACTCGCACACAGATTTGATGTGGCAGGTACTTATTATTTCCATTTTATGAATAAGGGAACTGAGTATTAGAGAAATTAAAGGAATTTTCTCCAAATCACATAATCAGTAAGTAGCAGAGCCATGATTTGAGCCTATGGTTCTCTGATGCCAAATTTCTTGCCTTCTTTTGGGATGGGGAAAAGCAGTTAAGTCAAAATGCCTATTTTGGGGTCATAATTGCTTGATTGTAAATAATGATCATCAGATAAGTGCTAGAGAAAATGTGATGAGAATTCAGTTATTGGTGACCTCCCCCAGAGAAGATGGCAGGGTTGTTGGTCCTAAGATGTAGGCTGGAGTGTACGAAGTTTATTTGGGAGAGCTCTCTGGATGAATACCTCTGAGGAAAGGGAAGGATGTTTCCCTCCACCCTATTCCAAAGCTATCCTTCTGAATTGTCCCAAGTTGGGGTGAGAGATTGGACCTTTATATCCCTGCATTAAACAGACACTGAAGGCAGGGAATCCAGAAAGAGAATAAGACTTTGGGTAAGGCCCCCTCCCCCCTTTTCAACGAAAGCAACTTTCAAAGAGGACTGACAGCTGAGGGCTGCCTCTGGTAACACCACCAGTAGCTAGTGTAATAACTCCATTCCAAAAGTCAGATCTGAGGGACATACCACAGTACCCACTACAAATAGTCACTACTTTAATGATTAAATTGCTGTTTTTTTTAAGGTCATGATTAGTTCCAGAAGTGGCTCCTGGGTGATGAGCCGGGTCTGGGATGAAGGCTATCCATGGGACATGTTGTTTATCACTCGATTTGAAACCTTCCTCAAGAACAACTTGCCGACAGCCATCTCTGACTGGTGGTACATGAAGCAAATGAATGCAAGATTCAAGCATGAGAACTATGGCTTGATGCCTTTAAACAGGTAATGCAGAGTTAATTATGATATGCCTGTTAACTTTTAGTTCAGTGTCAACAACTCACAATGTGTGTTGTAACTCCCAAACCAATCAAAATAATATTAGTGAAATAACCACATCTCACATTTCAGAGGATGAAGAACCGCAAACATTCAGAGTGATTTCCTGTTTCACAATCCTCCTTGCCAGATTTGTACAGCTGGAAAGTTATATAATGAATCAGGAATTAGTCCCTCGAGCAAGGATAATAATAGTTAACATGTTTTAAGCACTTAATGTGACTCAGCAAGGCTCTGACATGCATCATCTCATTTTATCCTCATAACAACTATGAGGAGGTCTCTATTATAATCCCCATTTTAAAGATGAGAAAACTGAGGTTCAATGTAGTGAATAACTTTACCAAAATCCCATAGCCAGAGGGAGAAGAAATATTCAAAATGAGCCCAGATCTGCTGACTCCAGAGCCCTTCACTCTTAACCACCTTGTTCTACTGCCTCTCACTTCATGGCAAAGTTCAGTTAAGCAAAGCAGGACTTTCCCTGTGCTACGCTCTCATCACCTGCCCTTAAGTGAAATGTGGCCACAACACCTGCATCTTCAGTATCCTCCTCACTCTCTCCTATAATATCCCCCTAGACATATCCCTCAGACACATAAGAAATTACTTTGATGTGTGGTGAATAATCCAAATTATAAACTGTTTACATCAAAGTTAACTTACTCAACAAATATTTACTAAGCATTTATTATGTGTTAGGTCTTATTTGTTAAGCCCCGTGAATACAGCTATGAACAAAACACACAAAATGCCTGTCTTCATGAGCTTACTTTCTAGTAGGGGAAACAGACAGGAGACAAACAGCAGAAGATCATATGCTGATATGTACTATGGAGAAAAGAACAAAGCAGGCAGAGGTAATGGGGAGCGCTACTAGCATCCCCAGAGGAGGCCTTACTGAGAAGGAGACTTTTAAACAAATTCCTGAAGGAGCTGAGGAAATGAGCCAGGCAGATGTCTGGGAGAAAGTATCCCGGAAGAAATGGTTAGGACACTGACTCTTCAGGGCCTCTTCAGGGCCATGACTGGAATGTTCAATGGCCTGCTCTCCCTGAGGGAAAAGGGACTAAGGGACAAAAAGACATCAAAATAGCCAGATGGCATTGGGCCTTGTAAGCCTTCATAAGGACTCTGGCTTCTACTTTGAATGCAATGGGAAGCCAGAGCAGGCGTCTGAGCAAGCCAGGGACTAGATCCAAGGTAATCTGAAGAAATTAGTCGACGCTGTGGTCATCATTCAGTGTATAAGGATAGGTCAAGGAAGGAAGTGAAAAGACTAGGTAAGAGGCTATTGTCAAAAACCCAGATGACAGAAGTTGGTGACTTGGACTATGATTGTTAGCAGCAAGTGCTCAGAAGTGGTCAGATTTGGGATATATTCTAAAGGTAAACCCCCAAATAGGATTTTCTGTTAGATTGGATAACAGATATGAGAACAAGAAAGGAGTCAGGGATGCCTTCCAGACTTTTGATCTGAGCAAAGATGCAAGGATGGAGTTGACAGTTACTGGGATGTGGAAGACCACAAGAGGAGTGAAGTTTAGTTTTAAATATATCAAAGTTGAAATGCCAATTAGTCATCATTATAGAAGAATGTTAAGCAGCCTAGGGATACACAAGACAGTAGGGTGATTGAAACCATAAGTTAAAAATGTGGATTCAACAGAATATAGATAGTACTTTAAGAAATGAAACCAGATGACATCCCTTAAAGAATGAATGTAGATGCAGAAGACAAAAGGTCTGAGGGCTGACGTCCTGGGGCATGTCATTGTTCAGAGGTCAGGAAGAGGAGGAGAATTCAGCAGGAGACAAAGAAAGAATAGCAGGTGGGTAGGAAAGGAATGGAGAGAGAGAGAGAGAGAGAGAGAGAGAGAGAGAGAGAGGTGATGACCTGAAAGCAAAATGAAGACAGTGTTTCAAGAAGGAGGAAACCATCAACTGTGTTAAACACTGCTGGTAAGTTGACTAAAATGAGAAGTGACAGTGGATCATTGGATCCACAGTTTGAGGATCCTGGTGGCCTTAACAAAAGCAGTTTCAAGGTGACAGTGGGTCATCAGCCTGATGGCAGTAGGTGTAAGATAAATGGCAGGTAATTCTCACAGTTGAATCCAGCCTTTTTCTAACCAGATTCCAACCCATCTCATTGTCTGACTCAGTTTTGTCCCCAGTAGACTCTCCCTGTGGCTTTCTCTCACAGCTCCCATAGTAATATAAGAGCAAAGCCTTTTCCTTCAGTGTTATTCACATTCACCCCAAAGTTCAGATTTATCTGCACTCACTAAAGATAGTGCTGCACAAAAAAATAATCAAAAGCTCTCCTTTTCAGACTTCCACTGACCAAAGATTCAAACTAGCCCCCTCCTCCTTCTGGCCTGTATAAATTCCTGGAACTCCCTCCCTCACCTCACTTGTGCCTTTGTCTGCAAGGGGCTTAATACCCCACCCCTATCAGAGAGCTCAGCCTAGATCTTTGTATTATTTTGGTCTCCCAATGACCCGAGATGGACATAACAGTTATTGTCACTCCAGATGAGAAAGATGAGGCAAGAGAAATTAAGAAGCTTTAATTTGATCAAGGTTCACAGTTAATAAGAACTGAAGAAAAAAAATCCAAATACCCAGGTACTCTAATTTAAGATCTTTCCTGATACAGCTGTAACAGGGGATAGGGCCTGGGTGCTGATTCTGGGATTTGGAGCTCTGTGGAAGAGAAGAGAACGATCACAGGAAATAGAGAAAGGATCAGCAAAAGGCAACTTGTCTTACTTCACAATATTGCCTTACTTCAGTTTTGTTCTTCAACCATATTGGTGATACTCCATGGCACAAGGAAAAAAGCTTAGGTAGTTTTCTCCTTCCTTATGAATTTATTATTAATTAATTATTATGGAGCAATAAAACAAAGATAAAATATTACTGTTCTATTGGTTGTCTTTATTTTCCATACAGAACCCTGAGGAAAGAACCTGTGTTTAATGATGAGCTCCCAGCTTGCATTCTGTGTGGCATTGTGTCCGTTAAGCCTAATGTGAGAGAATTCACTGAGACTTCAGCCATTTTTGAGGATGGGACGGTGTTTGAGGGCATTGATTGTGTCATTTTTGCAACAGGCTATAGTTACGACTACCCCTTCATTGATGAGTCCATCATTAAGAACAAAAACAATGAGGTCACCTTGTTTAAAGGCATTTTCCCTCCTAAACTGGAGAAACCAACCATGGCAGTGATTGGTTTTGTCCAGTCCCTTGGGGCTACCATTCCCACAGTTGACCTGCAAGCCCGCTGGGCAGTACGAGTAATAAAAGGTGAGTAGACTAAGAAGGTCATTAATGGGGAAGAGGGATGCCAATAGAATGCCTTTGAGTCTTTGTGAAAACAGTAATCTTAATAACAAGGGGAGAATCCTAGGTCCCATCCAGTTTGGAATCTATAATTCTGTATTTTTGGTACTTTCTTTTATAAGCATTTAAAAATATATCATGTTGGATTATCATATGCAATAGTACAAGGTATTATTCAAGAAGTATTTTGTGATTTATAACTCCTTAGAGCTGTTAACTTTTATTAAACTTAAGAACACTGGAGCTTCTGGTCTTAAATGCATTACAATTTTATAAAACTGTGATTTCAAAACTCAATAGAATGACCTTGTTTGAAAGGTTAATAAGAGAAGGTGTTTCCAAACCAATATCCAGCCAACTTCAAATATTCACAGTCATGGAAAAAATTATGATTGCTGGAAAGACAGTGTCTTTTCTGCTCTATATTTTCCCCTGTCATGTGCCAGATAAGAACAAGCAGTGGATCATTAGAAGCAGAAAGTACTAGGTGTAGTAGATGATCAGTCTCTAAGGTAGAGGAATACTAAGTTCTTGTATTAAAAAAATAACAACAACAATAAATTCGATTGGGGTCAGGCAAGGAGAACGGGCAGCATCCTCCAACAGAAGTTATGAGGTTCAGATTCATATTAAGTTTCGAATGCAGTTGTGTAAAGATTCAGATCGTAAGACCAAAAGTCAATGGTTATAGAACAGAAAAGATGTCAAAGTTTAATATACAAAGTTTGTTTGGTCCTAGAGGTATAAAACTTCTGGAAAAGGTTGATTAGCAGGTCTACTTCCTTTGAAGCCATATGTAACTGGTCCTACCTGATTTGCTGGGATTTAAATATTCTTTTATACAAGAGAATGGAAACTGCCACTATGTATACCGAGACACCTTTCACCACCAGGCTGTCATCAACAAGATAAAAGTCACCTATATCAGTGATCCCTTTATATCTCCTTCACTCTTTCCTCCAAGGCAGAAGTTTTTTTCCTTAAATCTAAAAAAGAAATGCGGATATACCTTTGGCTGTAAACTATTAGATAACATTTTAAAAATACAGCTGAGGGACTAGACTATAATCCTTAAAACTAATTTTAAACATCTGCTAACTGGTTTAAGAGCAAACATACAAAGATAAAGAGCTATTTGGTTCCTGGTTTTTAATTATGTCACGTTTCATTTCTGAGAAAACTGGAAATGATTTGTATGTTTGCCTCAAAATGACCACCTGTTGATTTGCTCAAGATTTTATTTTGCTAGGCAATGACCCCCCAAAAATGGAAATACTAATGTGATATATAAATCATTATTAAGAAGGAAAAATTGCAGGCTGACCTTATGCCAGACTTATTTTACTATTATATGTTTCCCATTTTTTTTTTTTTAGGAACTTGCACTTTGCCTTCTGTAACAGACATGATGGATGATATTGATAAAAAAAGGGGGAAAAAGCTCAAATGGTAAGAGCACCTATTGTAAAGAGAGTCTAGGGTTTCCATAGAAAAATCAGAATCTGTGAATACTTGTAACTATTTTAGTCTTAAATGGTCCAGAGTGAAGTCATTAGGGTGACAGCTATGAGCTAAGTTCATCCATTCAACAAGGATTTATGGAGGATTTACTTTGCACCTGACACAGGACTCAGTCCTGTTTCATCCCTCCATGGCTCTTGCAATATATGACAGAGAGAAGACCCAGAAAGGATTGGAAATCAGAGGAGTTTGGGAGTGCATGAATGTGGACTTCTATTTTCCAGCCTATGAATCCTCTAAGGTACAAATGATGCCTCCAAACAGATGGCTCTAAGAAACATGACTCAGTAGATGAGAATAGTCAGGAGATCAGAGCTCTAGTCCTACATCTGTCACTAATTAGCTCAGTGGCCATGAACGAACTTCATGAGTAAGAGACAATTTCCACATGTGAATGGGGATGGAAACGCCTTTCTCAGCTGCTGAGCAGTACTGGGGAATGTCCAGATGAGATCAGTATTCAGGTCTCTTGGAAAAAGCTACAAAGTGCAGAATAAATAAGCAAGGTCCCCTTACAACACAAAGGATTGATGTTGATTCCTTCTGATAAAAAAGCTATGGGGCATTTTCCCTGTTCTTGTTCCTATAAGACATGTACCAGAGCTTCGGTATCCACAGTGCTGTTTCCTCTTCCCACCTCTAGGTTTGGCACCAGCGAGACTGTACAGACGGATTATATTACTTATATGGATGAACTTGCCTCCTTCATTGGGGCAAAGCCCCACATCCCATGGCTGTTTCTCACAGATCCCAAATTGGCTGTGGAGGTTTTCTTTGGCCCTTGCAGCCCATACCAGTTTAGGCTGGTAGGCCCAGGGAAGTGGCCAGGAGCCAGAAATGCCATCCTGACCCAGTGGGACCGGACCCTGAAACCCATGAAGACAAGAGGTGTCGGGAAACCTCAGAAGCCTTGCTTGCTTTGCCGTTGGGTCAGGCTCTTCATTCTCCCTGTTATGTTCATTGCTGTTTTCTTTGCATTGATCTAATTATCATTCCCCCCAGGCTTCTGAAAGTTACTGACAAGAAGGAACTTTTCTAGTTAAAAATTAAGAATTTCACACCTCCTACTTTCTTATTCAGCAGGCACTAGTCAGTAAAACTGTACTATTTCCAGGCTTTTAAATAAGCCTCTATAAGAGTCATGTGATAATCTAAAGGGAGCACTAATTATTTCTCTTTAGGTTTCCACTAACATTTCATCATCAGAATTATGCTCTTCACCTCTAACCTCAACCATCTCCCAAAACATTTTGACGTGATTCCTTTTCTCCTTCAATCAAGGTTTGAATTACATACTTCAATCTAAACAAAGAGCAAATTCAGCGGAATAGTTATGATATTCTCCAGCCACCCCTGCAAACTATTTGCAGGAGGATCAAGTAGAGAATTTGGCTATTAATTCTATTTTTGTTTATACCAAATTCCCCAGGCAATGCATCCTGATCCCTGGCCAAAAATTATAGCATGGAGACCTGGTCTATAATGAATCCTAACAAGAAGTAACTTAACATATCTATATTCTTAATGAGGACACAAATTTTCCAACATGTAGCAGCAAAATAATATCAACAACAATGAGTAGAACACTAAATATACCTTTCTGCTGAATGAAATGTCTTAAAAAAAATAAACATTTAACCAAAGTCATGACCAAAATCAAATGCTACCTTTATTACATGAACTTTTGGGGTAACAGCATAAATCTAAAGTTCTATTTTTAAAAGTATTATCACATTGTATAGTTAAAATTTTGATAGTTAACATTTTTAAAGCTTGACATTATAGAGCAGATCTGTCCATGTCATTAGTCACCAGAAGGCTCTATAGGTAGTTACATCACCTATTTCTTATTACACTTTCACTTCTGAAGCAGCAAGATACATATATGAGAAAGGGACAGAAGACCACATTTTTCTGTAATACTCTCTTCTTCTTCTTTTTTAATTCTCTTTATTTTTTTGTCTTTGGAGCTAAGATCTATCAAGGATGTTGTTCTACACAATTTTAAATATTTCCCTTTCCCTAATTGTTTAGGGTAGCAAAGTAACATTCTGCTTTTTAGGTCTTCTCACAAGATGTGAAATATTCCCAAGTGTTCCCAAGTGAAACAGAACTTTTCTTGAAACTCCGTGTCCTCTATGGAATCAAATAATGAAAAATTAATGACAGCCCATAGAGTTTATTTTGTTTGATGTTATCAATGCTAGTCCATAAAATAAATTGCATATAAAATTGATGTAATCCAGGGGCACCTGGGTGGCTCAGTCATTAAGCATCTGCCTTAGGCTCAGGTCATGATCCCAGGGTCCTGGGATCGAGCCCCGCATCAGGCTCCCTACTCAGTGGAAGGCCTGCTTCTCCCTCTCCCACTCCCCCTGCTTGTATTCCCTCTCTTGCTGTCTCTCTCTCTGTCAAATAAATAAATAAAATCTTTAAAAAAATTGATATAATTGTTTTTCCTCATATGATTATTTAAGTTTTTGTAAACATTAATTGACTCATAAAGGATATAATATTCTTCCTAAACCAATGTAGCAAACACATTCTCTTAATTGTCCTATTAACATCAATCTATTTCCATGCTAAATTGAACTATTGCCAATGTTTTAATTACTTCTACACACGACAGTAATTACTTTCAATCATTCATTTTTGCATATTTTACTGATAAAATTAAATATATGTTTATACCTTAACAGACATACAATTTGAGTTTATGAAGAACAAAAGATCTTTTCACTCCCAATTTCATCTCAAAATTCTTACCAGGACTTCAAAGTACATAGTCAGATATTATGAATACAACCAAATAAAAATTGTCTTTGCAGCAGACACAGCTTTGCTGATTAGATCCAAAGCTGAACTGCATGATCACAGGGTTGTTGACTACACCCAGTTTCCAGGATGGGAAGCAAGAATTTGAAGCAGGCTTTTGGCTCTTCAGCCCTTCTAGAGGTTTCAAGCTTCTGACACCAAGCAGTCATTCTCAGCCAAATACTAAACCAAACTTCAATGTATATATCTACCTATCTTCTTCTCATTCCTCTGTTCCTTTCTCCTTCCACTTTATCTTCCTCTTCTTTCTTATTATTATTCTTACTTCTTTCTCCCTTTTTCTTTCTCTAACTTCTTTGTCTTCCTTCTTTCCCTTTGTTCTTTCTTTTACCTTCTCCTTTAGTAGGAATGATCGGAGGTAGGAATATTCACTTTGAAGGACTCTTGGATCTTCTGGGATAGTGTCCCAGATACTACCCCAAATGGACTTTCAAGAAGTGAGTATATTGGGATGCCTGGGTGGCTCAGTCAGTTAAATGTCTGCCTTTGGCTCAGGTCATGATCCCAGGGTCCTGGGATCAAGTCCCACATGGGGCTCCTTGCTCAGCAGGGAGCCTGCTTCTCCTTCTGCCTGCCATTCCCCCTACTTGTGCACTCTCTCTCTCTGACAAATAAATAAATAAAATCTTTTTAAAAAAAGTGAGCATATTCCCCTACATGCAATTACCCAGCCAAACTCAACGTTACATGAGATCCAACCTCACTGTTCATTCCAGTCACCGCTCAACTGTTAATTCTATATAAAAATACAATCCTTTGTCACTCTCTACCTCCTGTCCTGCGTTTTCCCCATGGCATCTGACATAGTCACCATGTGTTTGTGAGTGATCTCTCCCCTCACTAGAAGTAAGCTCTGTGAGAGCAGAAACATTTTGTCCACAGCTGTTCCCACAGTGCTTGGAACAGTACCTGGCACCTCGTATGCAGCCAATAAATATTAGCTATTCTTGTTGAAAACAGGCATTATTCAGCCTCAGTCAAATGTTCCAGACACAAAGCATTAAGTGTAAGGTGATAAGAAACTGTTTTGCTATGGGTGGCTCCTTTAAAATGTAGGTTTTATTATTATTCGGGTATGGTGAGGCCAACAGACCAGATGATTGCCATTGAAAAGATGGGTTTTTAATACTCACAGATCCCAAGAGTAGGAGGCATGCCCACACCACAGTCACCAGGGTCAGACAGGAGGCAGAAAGAAGAGAAAACCTGGGCAAGAGCCTTTATTGGTTTTTGGGGGGAATTTGGGGTTTTTTCTATGAGAAGGAACAGGGAGACTGTGTAAGCAGGTTTAGGACTGGCTGGTTTGAACAATTTCAGCAGGCTCTGGGGTGTAGGGGTTGTCCTTATTTGTCTGATACCTGGAGTGTGAAAGCCAGCAGAGGAGGGACTGGGGGTGTGAGCTCTGGATGGGTTGCTGTGCTTATGAAAGCCTCACTCCTTGGGCTAGGTAAGTTTTTTGTTATCTGTACGGATTAGCTAGCCCTGGGAAGGGCAGTCCTGCTGCATCCAGCAAGGCTTCAAGATGTCAAAGCATCAAAAATACTGACTAAAAAGACATGATTAATACAAGGTCAAATCTGCACTGGGTTGGTGCTGGAGGGAAAAGCAGGAGTCAGACCCTAGAGAAGGGAGGGATTCCTAAAACCAAGTGACAGGGATTGAAGTGAGGTAGCAAAGCCAACTCACTAGAGCCTACATTGGTGGCAGAGGCCACCAGAGGCTTGGAGCAGTTATATGACATGAGTTTGGGAACCTTCAATGGTTGTGTTGAGGGCCACTGACAACAAAGGTTTCTACTCCAAATGAGACATCTAAATATACAGCTTCTCAAGCCGGACACCCAGGCATAATCCTTGATTTCTTTCTTTGCCTCACATAGTAGTTTGCTAGCACTGCCATAACAGAATACAACAACCTGAGCGGCTTAACAGAAATGTATTTTCTCACAATTCTGGAGGCCACAAGCCCAATATGTAGGTGTCAGCAGGGTTGTTTTCTTCTTGTCGATGATGACTTTTTCCTCCCTGTGTCTTCACATGGTCCTTCCTCTGTGTGTGGCTGTGTTCAAATTCCCTCTCCTTATAAGGACACCAGTCTTAATTAGGCCCACCCTAAGACTTCATTTTAACTTAATCACCTCTTTAAAGACCCGATTTCCAAATACAGTCACATTCTGAGGTACTAAGGGTTAGAACTTCAACATAGGAATTTGGGGAGGACACAGTTCAGCCCCTGACACCTCACCACCTGCCAATCCACAGCGTCAGCGAATATTTTCACTTCCCTCTACCTCCACAACCTCTACCCTGGTCCAGGCACCATTAAGTCTCCCCTGTGGTTCTAAGAGCTTCCTAAGTTGTGTCTCTGCTTCCGTTCCTGCGGAACGGAACTGTGCAGCAGTTCCACTAACTGTGCAGCAGCAGAAGTGATCTTTCTCAAGCATGAATGGGATCTTGTCACTGCCATGCTTCAACCTTTACAATGGTTAACCATTGCAATAAATATGAAACCCAAGTGCCATCATGACCTACAAGATCCCACTCTACCTTCAACCCCATTTGATACCTTTCTCCTCCTTTTCTATATTCCCAGGACATTGGCCTTCCTTCCCACTACATTCATTCCCAATTGACAGCATTTGTTCTCTCTCTCTGCCTGAAATGCTTTATCCCAAGATCTCTGCATAGCTAACACTTTCTTATATTCAGATTTCAATTTACACAGGACAATCCCAAAAATGAGATGCCTTCCCTGGCCACCCAGTTTACATCAGCACAACCTTCTTTCAAATCATCCTATTTTGCGTCCTTCTTGGCACTTTCATTTCTGAAATCATCTTACTCATCTTTTTTACTTGTTTACTTTTCTCTTTCTATTTTTTTAGATTTATATTCAATTAATTAACATATAGTGTATTATTAGTTTCAGAGGTAGAGTTCAGTAATTCATCAGTTGTAAATAACACCAGTGCTCATTACATCCCATGCCCTCCTCAAGGCCCATCACCCAGTTACCCCATCCCCCACCCCCCACCCCTCCAGCAACCCTCAGTTTGTTTCCTATAGTTAAGACTCTCTTATGGTTTGTCTCCCTCTCTGATTTCGTCTTGTTTTATTTTCCCTCCCTTCCCCTATGATCCTCTGTTTTGTTTCTTAAATTCCCCATATGAGTGAGATCATATGATAACTGTCTTTCTCTGATTGACTTATTTTGCTTAGCATAATAATCTATCATCCCCTTTCTCACCTGCAACTAGGATCTAAACATAAATATTGCTTGTTTTATTCTTCACAATATCTTCAATGCTTTCAAAATGCCTTGCACGTAGTAGACACTTAGTGAATATTTATTAAAATAATCAATAAATCTGCATGTATATTGGCTACACACATTTAATACACATTCTTAATACATAATAACTTAAATAAAACTAATATGTTCCTTCTAAAGTCATTTTTATTCAGTAAAATAAATAATATTGTTCATTACTTACCTTCCAAATGTCATATATTCATTATATAAAATGATACGTCCATTGGTATTTGGGTAATACAATATAAATTCACTTTTATTGCTCCTAAGTATTATGGTTGCCTTTCATCAAGGAGACTAGTATCAAAATCAACCTATCATAACAAATTATGTCAATAATATTAAATCAATAAATCTTACGTGTTTTCTTAAGTACCTTCTTCTAATATCCAATCTATTGTTCTTGAAAAGAGGTTTAAAATATGTAAAGTGATAGACCAGGTTAAAGTCAAATTTGCACTCTATTTGATTTTTCATATTTATAAAAGTAATTGGGAATACTTAAAAGACACAAGAA